ACCTTAGTATACTACAGATACCTCAGTATACTACAGATACCTCAGTATACTACAGATACCTCAGTATACTACAGATACTGTACCTCAGTATACTACAGATACCTCAGTATACTACAGATACCTCAGTTTACTACAGATACTGTACCTCAGTATACTACAGATACCTCAGTATACTACAGATACCTCAGTTTACTACAGATACCTCAGTATACTACAGATACTGTACCTCAGTATACTACAGATACCTCAGTTTACTACAGATACCTCAGTATACTACAGATACCTCAGTATACTACAGATACCTCAGTATACTACAGATACCTCAGTATACTACAGATACTGTACCTCAGTATACTACAGATACTGTACCTCAGTATACTACAGATACCTCAGTTTACTACAGATACCTCAGTATACTACAGATACCTCAGTATACTACAGATACTGTACCTCAGTATACTACAGATACCTCAGTTTACTACAGATACCTCAGTATACTACAGATACCTCAGTATACTACAGATACCTCAGTATACTACAGATACTGTACCTCAGTATACTACAGATAATGTACCTCAGTATACTACAGATACCTCAGTATACTACAGATACTGTACCTCAGTATACTACAGATAATGTACCTCAGTATAATACAGATACCTCAGTATACTACAGATACCTCAGTATACTACAGATACTGTACCTCAGTATACTACAGATACCTCAGTATACTACAGATACCTCAGTATACTACAGATACTGTACCTCATTATACTACAGATACCTCAGTATAGTACAGATACCTCAGTATACTACAGATACTGTACCTCATTATACTACAGATACTGCACCTCAGTATACTACAGATAATGTACCTCAGTATACTACAGATACCTCAGTATACTACAGATACTGTACCTCAGTATACTACAGATACCTCAGTTTACTACAGATACCTCAGTATACTACAGATACCTCAGTATACTACAGATACTGTACCTCAGTATACTACAGATACTGTACCTCAGTATACTACAGATACCTCAGTTTACTACAGATACCTCAGTATACTACAGATACCTCAGTATACTACAGATACTGTACCTCAGTATACTACAGATACCTCAGTTTACTACAGATACCTCAGTATACTACAGATACCTCAGTATACTACAGATACCTCAGTATACTACAGTACCTCAGTATACTACAGATAATGTACCTCAGTATACTACAGATACATCACAGATACTGTACCTCAGTATACTACAGATAATGTACCTCAGTATACTACAGATACCTCAGTATACTACAGATACTGTACCTCAGTATACTACAGATACCTCAGTATACTACAGATACTGTACCTCAGTATACTACAGATACCTCAGTATACTACAGATACCTCAGTATACTACAGATACTGTACCTCATTATACTACAGATACCTCAGTATAGTACAGATACCTCAGTATACTACAGATACTGTACCTCATTATACTACAGATACTGCACCTCAGTATACTACAGATAATGTACCTCAGTATACTACAGATACCTCAGTATACTACAGATAATGTACCTCAGTATACTACAGAAACCTCAGTATACTACAGATACTGTACCTCAGTATACTACAGATACCTCAGTATACTACAGATACCTCAGTATACTACAGATACTGTACCTCAGTATACTACAGATAATGTACCTCAGTATACTACAGATACCTCAGTATACTACAGATACTGTACCTCAATATACTACAGATACCTCAGTATACTACAGATACCTCAGTATACTACAGATACTGTACCTCAGTATACTACAGATACCTCAGTATACTACAGATACCTCAGTATACTACAGATACTGTACCTCATTATACTACAGATACCTCAGTATAGTACAGATACCTCAGTATACTACAGATACTGTACCTCATTATACTACAGATACTGCACCTCAGTATACTACAGATAATGTACCTCAGTATACTACAGATACCTCAGTATACTACAGATACTGTACCTCAGTATACTACAGATAATGTACCTCAGTATACTACAGATACCTCAGTATACTACAGATACTGTACCTCAGTATACTACAGATAATGTACCTCAGTATACTACAGATACCTCAGTATACTACAGATACTGTACCTCAATATACTACAGATACCTCAGTATACTACAGATACCTCAGTATACTACAGATACTGTACCTCAGTATACTACAGATACCTCAGTATACTACAGATACTGTACCTCATTATACTACAGATACCTCAGTATAGTACAGATACCTCAGTATACTACAGATACTGTACCTCATTATACTACAGATACTGCACCTCAGTATACTACAGATAATGTACCTCAGTATACTACAGATACCTCAGTATACTACAGATAATGTACCTCAGTATACTACAGAAACCTCAGTATACTACAGATACTGTACCTCAGTATACTACAGATACCTCAGTATACTACAGATACCTCAGTATACTACAGATACTGTACCTCAGTATACTACAGATACCTCAGTATACTACAGATACTGTACCTCAGTATACTACAGATACCTCAGTATACTACAGATACCTCAGTATACTACAGATAATGTACCTCAGTATACTACAGATACCTCAGTATACTACAGATAATGTACCTCAGTATACTACAGAAACCTCAGTATACTACAGATACTGTACCTCAGTATACTACAGATACCTCAGTATACTACAGATACCTCAGTATACTACAGATACCTCAGTATACTACAGATACTGTACCTCAGTATACTACAGATACCTCAGTATACTACAGATACCTCAGTACACTACATATACTGTACCTCAGTATACTACAGATACCTCAGTATACTACAGATACTGTACCTCAGTATACTACAGATACCTCAGTATACTACAGATACCTCAGTATACTACAGATACGTCAGTATACTACAGATACTGTACCTCAGTATACTACAGATACCTCAGTATACTACAGATACCTCAGTACACTACATATACTGTACCTCAGTATACTACAGATACCTCAGTATAGTACAGATACTGTAACTCAGTATACTACAGATACCTCAGTATAGTACAGATACTGTACCTCAGTATACTACAGATACTGTACCTCAGTATACTACAGATACCTCAGTTTACTACAGATACCTCAGTACACTACATATACTGTACCTCAGTATACTACAGATACCTCAGTATACTACAGATACCTCAGTATACTACAGATACTGTACCTCAGTATACTACAGATACCTCAGTATACTACAGATACCTCAGTATACTACAGATACTGTACCTCAGTATACTACAGATACCTCAGTATAGTACAGATACTGTAACTCAGTATACTACAGATACTGTACCTCAGTATACTACAGATACCTCAGTTTACTACAGATACCTCAGTATAGTACAGATACTGTACCTCAGTATACTACAGATACCTCAGTATACTACAGATACCTCAGTATACTACAGATACTGTACCTCAGTATACTACAGATACCTCAGTATAGTACAGATACTGTAATTCAGTATACTACAGATACTGTACCTCATTATACTACAGATACCTCAGTATACTACAGATACCTAAGTATACTACAGATACCTCAGTATACTACAGATACCTCAGTACACTACAGATACCTCAGTATAGTACAGATACTGTAATTCAGTATACTACAGATACTGTACCTCAGTATACTACAGATACTGTACCTCAGTATACTACAGATACTGTACCTCATTATACTACAGATACCTCAGTATACTACAGATACCTCAGTATACTACAGATACCTCAGTATAGTACAGATACTGTACCTCAGTATACTACAGATACTGTACCTCAGTATACTACAGATACTGTACCTCATTATACTACAGATACTGTACCTCAGTATACTACAGATACTGTACCTCATTATACTACAGATACCTCAGTATACTACAGATACCTCAGTATACTACAGATACTGTACCTCAGTATACTACAGATACCTCAGTATACTACAGATACCTCAGTTTACTACAGATACCTCAGTATACTACAGATACCTCAGTATACTACAAATACCTCAGTACACTACAGATACCTCAGTATACTACAGATACCTCAGTATACTACAGATACCTCAGTATACTACATATACCTCAGTATACTACAGATACTGCACCTCAGTATACTACAGATACTGTACCTCAGTATACTACAGATACTGTACCTCAGTATACTACAGATACCTCAGTATACTACAGATACCTCAGTATACTACAGATACTGTACCTCAGTATACTACAGATACTGTACCTCATTATACTACAGATACCTCAGTATACTACATATACCTCAGTATACTACAGATACCTCAGTATACTATAGATACTGTACCTCAGTATACTACTTATACTGTACCTCAGTATACTACAGACATCTCAGTATACTACAGATCTGTGTGTAAATTGTACCTAATTTCGAGATTGCAACGTTAATTGTTTAATTTTCTCCGTTATTGCCGCGTGTCTTTGTCACTAACGGCATTGATGTTGTCTAACTTTTGGCGATCTCTATCTAACCGTTTAGGTCATACCTAGTCAATTACAATCACGTGCTTTGTATTGATCTAACGACTGTGTCGACACCGTCCTCGCTGACAACCTGTGTCGTACAAGCAATAGTTATGGATAAAATATGAAGTGTTCATCTCTTGTACATTGTCAATACAGATAGTACTGAATATTTATAGCGTACCGCCATTCAAGCATGCGCTCTGGTCGCTTCGTTCAGCGCCTTTGTAATCAGTGGAGCTACAGTATCGAAATTACAGCGATCAGTGTCACCACGGTACCAGCACGTATTCCAACACGATAGAGAGATGGTGATACAGTCAAACATAACAGTGTATAACACGTGAGTCGTGTTTACTTTGTGTCTTTTAAGAGTATAAAAATGAGTTCTCTTCTAGAGAGTCCAGGAATCCCTCTGGTAGGTGTCGGAATGAATGGACGACATTACCAGAAATACAAGACTCTCGGTGAGTCAACTGACAGTCAGGGCGGAATGAGTCGAAAGAAGTGGGAAACTGTTGGCATTCGATTAGCACGACGGAAACAACTGTTTTCCAGTAGACGAAGGGCGTCCGACGTTTCCCTTGGTTTTGCGATCATTGGGATTTTGATAATGGTTCTGGAAAATGAACTCACAGCAGCTAATATCATAAACCGGTCTCAAATGATGTCATACTTTGTCAAAATGCTGATAACAGCCTCCACAGTCACCTTACTGATATTTCTAGGAATTTTTCATTTTCTAGATGTACAATTATTTGTTGTCAATAATAGCTGTGATGATTGGAGAATTGCTATGAACTCCCGCCGTGTCGTTCAAATTATCGTTGAGGTGATTGTGTGTATTGTTCACCCCATCCCAGGGAACTTTGACGTCACCTGGTCTGCTACGGTAGCTGAGGGACAGTTCCCACGAGAGTTCATCGTACCTCTGGACGTTATTCTCTCCCTACCTATGTTTCTGCGATTGTATCTTGTATGTCGTACCATAATGCTACATAGTAAACTTTATCAGGATGCTTCATCTCAAAGTTTAGGAGCTTTAAATCGTATTCATTTTAACTTCCGCTTTATATTCAAATCCCTAATGGCGATCCATTCAGATTATGTTCTCCTTGTTATGATGATGGCCTTGCTGCTGGTCGCCAGTTGGACTCTTCGACTGTGTGAAATGCACGATCCAGAAAAACCTTCCCACGCTGATTTTCTCAACTCGATGTGGCTAGTCGCGATCACTTTTCTGTCCGTTGGCTATGGGGACATAGTTCCCAGTACCTACTGCGGAAGGTTAATTGCCGTGATGACAGGGATAATGGGAGCAGGTTTTACTGCTCTCGTGGTTGCTGTCTTGGCCCGGAAGCTGGAACTCTCTAGAGCTGAAAAGTGTGTTCATGATTTTGTGATTGATGTTGACCTGGACAAACGCCTGAAACACGAGGCAGCTAATGTTCTGAAAGCCGGCTGGTTTGTATACAAGTTGAAAAAACAAAATCAAAAGCACCCTATGGGGCTCGTGTATCAACGGAAACTACTCGGCGCAATATACGCTATTCGGGAAATCAAGGCCGCACAACGGCGACTTATGGATGCCTCCTTGACACTTGTGGAATTGAATAAGGCACAAATGGAAACGACCCACTCGGTGGATATTATAAAACAAAAACAAATAACTCTTGACGAAAAAGTGGACAAATTAGAAACAAAGATCATTGCCATATACGACAAACTCAATGCTATTCACAAAGCTGTGAAGCATGGCGGCCGTGATACCAGCTAAGCATCCCGTGTGTGTAATTCTTGGATCTGATTACTGCTGGTAACGTTAAATACTTTTCTTGTGGGAATGATTCCCGAGACTGGTGACGCTAACTTCACTTCTTGTGGGAATGATTCCTGAGGCTGGTAACGTTAAATACTCTCCTGGTGGGAATGATTCCTGAGTCTGGTGACGCTAACTTCTCTTGTGGGAATGATTCCTGAGGCTGGTGACGCTAACTTCTCCTCTTGTGGGAATGATTCCTGAGGCTGGTGACGCTAACTACACTTCATGTGGGAATGATTCCTGAGCCTGGTGACGCTAACTTCACTTCTTGTGGGAATGATTCCTGAGCCTGGTGACGCTAACTTCTCCCCTTGTGGGAATGATTCCCGAGGCTGGTGACGCTAACTTCACTTCTTGTGGGAATGATTCCTGAGACTGGTAACGTTAAATACTCTCCTGGTGGGAATGATTCCTGAGGCTGGTAACGTTAAATACTCTTCTTGTGGGAATGATTCCTGGGGCTGTTAACGTTAAATACTCTCCTGGTGGGAATGATTCCTGAGGCTGGTAACGTTAAATACTCTCCTGGTGGGAATGATTCCTGAGGCTGGTAACGTTAAATACTCTCCTGGTAGGAATGATTCCTGAGGCTGGTGACGCTAACTACACTTCATGTGGGAATGATTCCTGAGGCTGGTAACGTTAAATACTCTTCTTGTGGGAATGATTCCTGAGGCTGGTAACGTTAAATACTCTCCTGGTGGAATGGATCCTTAGGCTGGTAACGTTAAATACTCTCTTGTGGGAATGATTCCTGAGGCTGGTAACGTTAAATACTCTCCTGGTAGGAATGATTCCTGAGGCTGGTAACGTTAAATACTCTCCTGGTGGGAATGATTCCTGAGGCTGGTAACGTTAAATACTCTCCTGGTAGGAATGATTCCTGAGGCTGGTGACGCTAACTACACTTCATGTGGGAATGATTCCTGAGGCTGGTAACGTTAAATACTCTTCTTGTGGGAATGATTCCTGAAGCTGGTAACGTTAAATACTCTCCTGGTGGGAATGATTCCTGAGGCTGGCGGCACTAACCTCTCCTCTTGTGGGAATTATTCCTGAGGCTGGTAACGTTAAATACTCTCCTGGTGGAATGGATCCTTAGGCTGGTAACGTTAAATACTCTTCTTGTGGGAATGATTCCTGAGGCTGGTAACGTTAAATACTCTCCTGGTAGGAATGATTCCTGAGGTTGGTAACGTTAAATACTCTCCTGGTGGGAATGATTCCTGAGGCTGGTAACGTTAAATACTCTCCTGGTAGGAATGATTCCTGAGGCTGGTGACGCTAACTACACTTCATGTGGGAATGATTCCTGAGGCTGGTAACGTTAAATACTCTCCTGGTGGGAATGATTCCTGAGGCTGGCGGCACTAACCTCTCCTCTTGTGGGAATGATTCCTGAGGCTGGTGACGCTAACTACACTACTTATGGGGGACGCAAAATAGTCATCCCATGGGATGGTTCTTGGGAGTGATAACGCTAACAATGACCCCTTTGTATGGTTGTTGGGACTGATTTGTTATGGTTTTGCCACAACTTACTGCTATTTAACAAGATGCAATGTTTGTTTTTTACTCAAGAACTTTAGTTATTGAAATATAACACAACAACATGGGTACTCATACTGCTGACGGGATTCTTATTATTATCAGTAATGATAGATTCTGTTACTTTCAACAGGACTGTTGTGTAGGTACTAAACAGCCTTATATTAATTGTTTTAAAAGTCTCTGCAAAAGGCCTAAGCTCAACTATGTATTACCTCTTAATATTTGTTGTAAACATTATCCTACGTATCGGGACGATGATCATGGTGTAACGTCTAACGGCTGAAGGGTGATCATTGTGTGACGTCTAACGGCTGAAAGGTGATCATTGTGTAACGTCTAACGGCTGAAAGGTAATCATTGTGTGACGTCTAACGGCTGAAAGGTGATCATTGTGTAACGTCTAACGACTGAAAGGTGATCATTGTGTGACGTCTAACGGCTGAAAGGTGATCATTGTGTAACGTCTAACGGCTGAAAGGTGATCATTGTGTAACGTCTAACGGCTGAAAGGTGATCATTGTGTGACGTCTGACGGCTGAAAGGTGATCATTGTGTGACGTCTATCGGCTGAAAGGTGATCATTGTGTAACGTCTAACGGCTGAAAGGTGATCATTGTGTGACGTCTGACGGCTGAAATGTGATCATTGTGTAATATCTGATAAACGGATGAGTGGTGGATGATATAACAGATGAGTGGTGGATAATATCACGGATGAGTGATGGATAATATCACGGATGAGAGGTGGATAATATAACGGATGAGTGGTGGATAATATCACGGATGAGTGATGGATAATATCACGGATGAGAGGTGGGTAATATAACGGATGAGTGGGGGATAATATCACGGATGAGAGGTGGATAATATAACGGATGAGTGGTGGATAATATCATCGATGAGAGGTGGATGATATCACGGATGAGTGGTGGATAATATAACGGATGAGTGGTGGATAATATCAAGGGGTGAGTGATGGATAATATCACGGATGAGAGGTGGATAATATCATATCTTTTTTTTATAGATTAACTATTCCTATTCAAGAATATAGTTTCAGCTAGAATTGTTGTCTGTTTACTCAGGCGGAGTTTCCTTAGCTATTGCACGATAATCGACAACTTGAAACAAAATCGATTTCCTGAGGTCTCTAAAGAGATAATTTCCCCAAATACCTTAAAGGATAAATTCCGTCAGCTGTCTAGAATTATAACTATTCTGAGCTCTCTTACAGTATTCTTTACCGGCCTCGAAGAATTATTAATTCTCGGAAAGATTTTAATCCTTAAATCTTTATTTTAACAGAAGTGTTATTTCCAACATTCCATAACGGAATGGGTTTCGGAACTATCCAAGCACCCATTACTTGGTTTATCACAAAAACTCATTTACTAATTCATATTTTCAATTTATATAACGACACTGCTTATAAAAACTTTAAAGGCATTATAAGCTAAGTTATATATGGGGACCACTTACAGAAACTTTTATATTATATAAATAAGTTATATAAGGGGACCACTTACAGAAACTTTAACATTATATAAATAAGTTATATAAGGAGACCACTTATAGAAACTTTAACATTATATAGATAAGTTATATAAGGGGACCACTTACAGAAACTTTAACATCATATACCTAAGTTATATAAGGGGACCACTTACAGGAACTTTAACATTATATACCTAAGTTATATAAGGGGACCACTTACAGAAACTTTAACATCATATACCAAAGTTATATATGGGGACCACTTATAGAAACTTTAACTTTATATAAATAAGTTATATATGGGGACCACTTACAGAAACTTTAACATTATATAAATAAGTTATATACGGAAACCCCTTATAGAAACTTTAACATTGTATAAATAAGTTAAGAGTTACTGAGTTACTCCTCAACTCGTAACAGTTCTGTCAACTAAGATGAATACAGTTTAAACCGTCTCGTAAATAACACAAATCGTCTGATGGCATTATCATCCTCAAAGACCTGATAAAATGATACAGCAAAACCGATAATGTCCCAGACTGTGGACTAGATGGGAGAGATAGACAATGGTTGATGTGTGTGGGTATGTGGACTAGATGGAAGAGATGGACAATGGTTGATGTGTGTGGGTATGTGTTGGAATTGTTCCCGTTAACATATTTTCTATATAACAATGTTATCAGTAAATTTTATGTGGATGGATGCATTCTTGTATTAAGCGTTTTTACAAACATTCTTATCTTTAATCTCGATAATTTATACCCATGTAGAGCAAGTATTGTAGATATCAATGACAAAGTACATGGTAGATACTGATGACAAAGTGCATGGCTGATACTGATGACAAAGTACACGGTAGATACTGATGACAAGGAACATGGTAGATACTGATGACAAAGTACATGATACATACTGATGACAAAGTACACGGTAGATACTGATGACAAAGTACATGGTAGATGCTGATGACAAAGTACATGGTAGATACTGATGACAAAGTACATGGTAGATACTGATGACAAAGTGAGATACTGATGACAAAACATGGTAGATACTGATGACAAAGTACATGATACATACTGATGACAAAGTACACGGTAGATACTGATGACAAGGAACATGGTAGATACTGATGACAAAGTACATGGTACATACTGATGACAAAGTGATGACAAAGTACATGGTAGATGCTGATGACAAAGTACATGGTAGACTGAACAAAGTACATGGTAGTAGACAAAGTACACGGAAGAAACTGATGACAAAGTACATGGTAGATACTGATGACAAAGTACACGGTAGATACTGATGACAAAGTACATTGTAGATACATGAATAAGGGTAGATACTGATGACAAAGTACACGGTGATGACAAAGTACATACTGACAAAGTACACGACAACAAAGTACACGGTAGATACTGATGACAAAGTACACGGTAGGTACATGACAAAGTACACGGTAGATACTGATGACAAAGTACACGGTAGATACTGATGACAAAGTACACGGTAGGATACAAAGTACACTGATGACAAAGTACACGGTACATGACAAAGTACACGGTAGATGACAAAGTACACGGTAGATACTGATGACAAAGTACACGGTAGATACTGACAAAGTACACGACAAAAGTACACGGTAGATACATGACAAAGTACACGGTAGATACTGATGACAAAGTACACGGTAGATACTGTTGACAAAGTACACGGTAGATACTGATGACAAAGTACACGGTAGATACTGATGACAAAGTACACGGTAGATACTGATGACAAAGTACACGGTAGATACTGATGACAAAGTACACGGTAGATACTGATGACAAAGTACATGGTAGATACTGATGACAAAGTACACGGTAGATACTGATGACAAGGAACATGGTAGATACTGATGAC